AAAATGGGCTACTTACATACTTCAGCCCATTTTGAGATTTTGCCCGTTCTAACCCGTTTGACCTACTCCACCTGCTCTAACCGTTCCACCCACCAGACTACACCTGTCATCTCTTCAATTAACCCTTTTTTTCATTTTTAATGTAAATATACCCATTTTATCCATCTTTTTAATGTAATAACCAAGGTTGTCAAAATCGAAATTTTACTTAAAATCGTTTTGGTTAGGTGAAATCGGAATCGTAAAATCGAATCGGTAAAATCGAGAATTTAATATAATATATAATAAATTATATAAAATCAAAATTAAATAACAATAAATCAAATTTAGAGTTAGAAATTTAAAATTAGCTAATTAAAATTTAAATATCCAACAACACAAATAAATTAAACGAAGAATATGACTTAAATTTAAAATTTTAGATGGTTAAATCAAATTTGTTTCGAATTTTCGATTAAAATGTTGATTTGTGGTTGGGTTGTGTGGGTTATGGGCTTTTAAAATGAAAAATGAATTTAATTTATGGGTTATCTAGTCAAAATTCACTAACTCAAGATGAGAAACCTAAAAAGAAATAGGTAAAAAGTCCAGCCAAACAGAAGGTAAAATTGAGATTTTACTTGATTTCACGGCAAAATCTAGATTTTACCGTAAAATCTCCAGATTTTATGAATTTCAGATTTTAGTATAGATTTTACACGAAATGTTTTGCTGAAATCGTAAAATCGTAAGATTTTAAAATTTAAATCTAGATTTTGACAACAATGCTTGAGAGAGCTGGGAATGCAAGTTGGTTGAGGGAATTACTAAGCTGCACTCTATTTTATTTAATATGAAGAGTTCTATTTTATCGTTTAAATTATATTAAATTACAAAATATTTCCTTTTCTAATTTAATAATAACTGTTTTATAATCAATATGTCTATTGGGCTGGGCGTGGCCTGTGGGCTTATAAGTCGGATCCAATAATGGTAAATTCTTTGGGTCAGATAAAATTAGGGCTTCAAATTGCAATCCCAGAAGGATTTTCA